GCAAACAACTATGATAATATACAGGATAAACGGGAGGTAGTCTCAGAGAGAAGGCTTCTTTAAGAAGGTAGAACTTTAGCTACAACTTGAAGAAAGAGAAACTGGGAGGTATAAATGAAGAGGGAGAGAAGTCTAGGCATAGAGGACAGTCAGTGAAAATGCTGGGGGTCCAGAGATGGGATATTTTGTACAAGGCAAAGCAAGGAGGCCAGTGACACTAGACTGTAGAGTATATGGAGGGGAGGAAGGTGTAAGAAGATTAGAATGGTAGGAGGGGACCATGTTATGAAGGGCTTTGAAATCCAGAGAATTTTATATTTGATCCAGAAGGTAATAAGGAGCCGCTGGAGTTTATTGAATGATTTATTAATGAGTTTAGAGTAAGACATGGTCAGACCTATACTTCAGGAAAATCATTTTGACAGCTGAGTGGAAGATGGATTGAAATGGGGAGATGTTTGAGGCAGGCTTTTGCAATAACCCAGGCATGAGGTGATGAGGACCTATATTAGGACAGTGTCAGAGGAGAGAAGAGTGCACATGACAGAGATGTTAACAAAGGTAGAAACAACAGGACTTAATTAATTGGATGCAGGGGATGAGAGAGAATGAGGTTGAGGATGACACCTAGGTTGTGAGCCTGGATGAGAATGGTGGTACTCTTGATACTAACAGAGATATTAAGAAAGGGGGAGATTTTAGGAGAAAAGATGTTGAGTTCAGTTTTGGAGGTTTTGAGTTTAAGATGTGTATGGGATATCCAAATCAAGGTATCTAAGTGGCATTTGGAGCTTGGAAGCAGGGTTAGAGCTGGACAAGTAGATCTGAGAGTCATCTGCATAAAGATGATAATTGAACCCACAGGAGCTGAAGAGACCACTAAACACATAATAGGTGCTTGCTAAGTATTTATTGAATCTAATTGCTAAGTGCTTGTTGAATGTGTAAAGGGAGTCTTTTGAAGTCTAGAAAATGGGTGAGCTCACAGGCCTCCACCTAGGGGGTGGAGGGATTAGTTTACTCTCTTTAGTTTTTTGTTTCTTTAACTACCAGAAAGAAGCACAGGGCAAATAAAACTCTGTGATACAATCATTCTATTTAATTAAATAAACATCTATTAAGTGCCTCCTGAAGTCATCCTCTGATGCTCTGTGGTTTGGAGGTATCAAGCCACTAGTTTCTTATTTTTGTTTTCCTGGACTTATAACTTCATCACTGTGGGAAACTTCTCATGTGAGAATTCCCTTCACCAAGACAGGTAAGTTATCTGCAACTTCTACTCCTAGAGAATTGCCTTGGGCACTGAGAGGTCAAGTGACTTGCCCTTGGTCAGGGAGGAACTATGTGTCAGAGTGAGGCCTTGAACTCAGGTCTTGTGGCTTTAAGTCCATAAGAGCTAAGTCAATGGAGCACAAGCTCTGTCAGGAACCGTTAAGCCAGAAAGGCTTTGAGTATGGGCCAGATGGTAAGCTATATGTTGGCTGAGGGCCCATCTAGCTAAGTTCAGGGGGGTTACTAGGTTGTCTGCATGATAATGATATTTTTGGCTATAAAAGTGCTAAAAGACAGTCTGTCAAGTCAAGGAAAGGTTCCAATCTGTATTGGTCAGGAGAACACCCACTCCAGTGAAACCACGGATCCCTGGAGAATGGAAGGAGGGAGTATCTACTCTGTGTAAGGTATTTGGCTAGGTGCTTGGGAAGTAGAAATAATAATACACTACACTTAGTATAGTAATAATAACTGAAGATTTTACATATATATATACTTATATATTATATATATATCTTAAGCTTTACAAAGTGCTCAAGGGAGATAATGTATACAACTGTATGAGGCAGCTACCATGGGAAGACTTATTTTCACGAAATCCATGCCTCAGACATTTATTAGCTGTGTGATCCTGGACAAGTCCTGTGACCCTTTTTGCCTCAGTTTCCTCAGCTGTAAAATGAGCTGGAGAAGGAAATGGCAAACCACTCCAATATCTTTGCCAAGAAAACCCTAAATGGGACCATGGAGAATTGGACATAACTGAAAAACAAGATCTTTATAGTTATTTCTTTTAGCTTGGTGTCATCTGTAAACATAATAATGTTATCTATGCTCTCATTCAAGTCATTGACAAAACTGTTAAACAGCAAAAAATCTTTAGTGACTTCTTATGGCAACCAGGATAAAATGTAAAATCCTCAGCCTGGTATTTATTTAAAGCCCTCCACAAAATGCCTTCTACCAATCTTTGCTTGTCTTATTTTTCATTTCTTTTTTCATGTACTCTCAGTTCTAGTCAAACTGCCCTGCTTTCGGTTCTCTGTCAGGGACATCTCATCTCCCTCTTCTGTACCCTTGCAAAGGTGATCTTTTACCTGTGGAATATAGTTCTGATTTATCTCCACCAGGCAGCTAGGTGGTACAGCAGGTAGAGGGCTAGGCTTAGAGTCATGAAGACCCAAGTTCAAATCTACCCTTAGACACTTAACTAGTTTTGTGATCCTGGGCAAATCACTTAACCTCTGTTTGTCTCATTTTCCTCAGTTGTTAAATGGGGATAATAATAATAATACCTACTTTACAATGCTGTTTTGAGGATCAATTTGTAAAGCACTTAGCACAATACCTGGCACATAGTATACATTACATAAATACTTATTCCCTTCTCCTGTTCCCACCTCTTAGAATTGCTAACTTCCTTCAAAACAGCTCAGGTGCTACAAGAAGCCTTTCCTGATATATTCAATTGTTAGTTATATGTCCCCTACACATAAGGATCAAGAAGAAAAGACTTAATCTTAAGGGGTGGACGTGTGAAGGTTGGGCACCATGCCTGGCTTTTATTATCTGTATTTTCAACCAATCAATATTGATTAAATATCTGCTGTGTGTCAGACACTGAACTGGGGATACAAAAAGAGGCCAAAAAAAAGTCTCTGCCCTCAAGGAGCTTACAATCTAATGGGAGAGAAAACATTCAAACAAATATATGTAAAGCAAGCTACACATAGGATAAACTGGAAATAATTAACAGATGGAAGACCCTGGAATTAAGGGAGGTTAGGAGGGCTTCCTGTAGGAGGTGAGATTTTAATTGGGACTTAAAGGAAGCCAGAGAGGTCAGCAGTCTGAGTGGAGAAGGGAGAGCATTCTAGGCATTGGGGGTATCCATAGAGAATGCCCAGAGCTGAGAGATGGAGTGTCTTGTTTGTTGAACAACCAGCCCAAATGTCACTGGATCTAAGAGTACATGTTAGGGAGTAAAGTATAATAGTTCTGGAAAGGTAGGAGGGGGCTAGATTCTGAAGGACTTTGAATGCCAAACAGTGAATTTTGTATTTGCTCCTGGAGGCAGTAAGTAGCCAACAGAGTTTATTGAGTGGGGGTAGGGGGGACACAAGATTGGACCTGTGCTTTAGGAAAATCACTTTAATGGCTGAATGGGGGATGGATAGGAGTGGGAAGAGGGCTGAGGTAGACAGACCCATTAGTAGGCTATTGCAGTAATCAAGGTGTGAGGTGATGTTGGCCTGTACTAGAGTTGGGGCAGTGTCAGAGAAGAGAAGGGGGAATATTCAAAAGATGTCGCAAAGGTGAAATAGGCCTTGGCAATAGCTCAGATGTAGGGGTTGAGAGAGATCCAAGATGACTCCTAGGTTGCAATCCTGAGGTACTGAGAGGATGGCATTGCCCTTGGCATTGCCCTCTACACTAACAGGGAAGGTAAGGGGAGTGAGGGGGAGGGTTTAGGGGGAAAGATGATGAGTTCTGTTTTGGACATATTGAGTTTAAGGTGTCTATTGGACATCTAGTTTGAGAAGTCTGAAAGGCAGTTGGACATGTGAGATTGGAAGTCAGCAGAGATTGGACTAGGAAAGGTAGACATAAGAATCATCAGCATAGAGATGAGTATTTTTTTTTATCACTTTTTTGTTCCTAGAACACGCTAGCAGATTGGTAGTAGCAGGCCTCCCCAAAAGGATAGAGCCCAGAGTTTGTAGCAAGTAGCATTACCTAATAGAGTGAGACCATGGTTTGTGAGACCAGAAGAGTGACCAGATCACTGGACTGCAGAGGAGGCTTAGAGAGAGGGAGAGGCAGGATGCTACTGCCCAGGGGGAGTAGGCCCAGAGAAAGCAGTGCAAATACCTCGCCAGATGCAAGATCCCATTGCAAGGATGTGAATTGAATCTCTGCATAGCTGTGTTACCTACATGTATGCACCTCCATACACGTGCCCTGGTCCCATGTACCCTGTATGGGTGTTCTCCTTATGTTTGATCACTGTGTATTTCTACTCTTTCCACTTATGTTGTATTTTGGGGGAAAGCATACCCTGTTTTGGATTATACTTACCTGTGAACTTCCCCCAGATTGTAAGCTCCCTAAAGGTAGCCACTATAGTGTTTTGTTCTTCTGTCATTGGTGCCTTGCACATAGTAGCCCTTTAATAAATGTTTATTGCTTTGAATTGCAAAGAATCTTAGAGGTCATCTACTTCAAAACACACCTGATCAGCAATCTCCTCTACAGCAACTTTTACAAGTGGTCACCCAATAATCCTACTTGAAGAATGCCAATGTCAGGTGATTTACTACTGCCCAGGACAGTCCACTTTTGGGCATCCTCAGCTCCATAATTTTGCAGAGGAGGAGTCAAATGCCCAGGTCAGGTCGCACCATGAATGTCAAGAGTTAGGTCTTCGGGCCTCCAAATCCACTTCCCTTTACATATGGGAAGAGCTGGTATTTGGTGCCCTGTTCTTCCCCGACCCGCTCCCTTCGTTCCTCCTCCTCCCCCTTTTTTCCCTTCCTCTCCTCCCTCCTATCCACTTTCCTGCCTTCCTCTCTCCTTTCCTCCTCCTCCTCCCTCTCCTTCCCTTCCTTTCCCTCCCTCCTCCTCCCTCCTTTCTGCCCCCCTCGCCCCGCCCTCCCCTCTCCCCCCTTCCTCCTCCCCCCTCCTCAGATGCTTCTCCTCTCCGCCCTCCGCCCTCCCCTCACGGCGGCACGTGATCTGTCAGTTCGAGGGAGAAGGAGGAAAATGGCCGCTCGGGCTGAGCCGTAGACGGCGACTCGGACCCCCCTTCTTTTCAGTCTGACAGCGCCAGCGGCAAAGAGGGCTCCTCTGCGGGGCCCCGAAAGAGGCCCCAGCCGGGCTTCCAGACGGTGAGTGGTGGACGGCGGGGACGGGGAGCGGGACGTCCATCCTGTTGGGCGGTGGCAGCAGCTTTGTGGAGAGTGGGGAGGGGCTGCTGGTGGCGCTGGCGGGGCCGGGGTGGGGTGGGGAGCGACTGTGTGTGTGTGTGTGTGTGTGTGTGTGTGTGTGTGTGGACACAGGAGGGAGCGAGCGGGTGTGTGTGTGGGTGTGTGGACGGACACAGGAGGGAGCGAGCGGGGTATGTGTGTGGGGGCACAGGACGGAGCTAGCGGTGGGTGGGTGTGCACAGAAGGGCGCTAGCGGTGGGTATGTGTATTCAGTGTGTGTGTTCACAGGAGGGAGCTAGCGGTGGGTGGGTGTGTTCACTGGAGGGAGCTAGGATGGGTGTGCGCGCGCGTGTGCACAGGAGGGATCCAGCGGTGGGTGTGTGTTCACAGAGGAGAGGGTATGTGGGTATGTTCACAAGAGTGAGCTAGTGGGGTGTGTGGGTGTGGTCACGGAGCGACTCTGGGATGTGTGAGGAGGGAGCAAACGGAGTGTGTGTTCATAGAGGATAGAGCTAGCGGGGTGTGTGTGTGTATAGCATTATATTTTCCTCATGTGAAATGAGGAAATTGAACCAAATGAGCTCCATGGTCTCTTTGCAGCTGAATATTCTGAAGCTATGAAAATGTGGCAGAGGCAGAATAAATGTATCAGTACATACATGTGTGTGCATTTATGCATACCCACCGATATAAAAACATATTAATGTACGTGTGTATGTACGTACATATGTATATCTGTCTCCCCAGCACAATTTTTGTATAGTCCCTTACCTGCCCGGGAGCCTGGATGGTCTTTACCTCTGCTCAGTCGAGGCTGATAAACAAAAGGTGGCTGTGGACGTCGGGTGGGGCTGCGGCAGCTGCAGTGATTTTTCTCAAGATCCTGCCAGGTGGAGGGGCTGGGCTGCTTGCTTCTGAGGGGCCAGGGCTTTGGGAGATTCTGGCTCTTATTACCTTTGCTACCTGATAACTTTGCTTGTTTCTGAGGCCCTTTCCTTTAGGGTTTTTTTCTTTAGTTTGTTTAAAGATTCAGATCCAGCCTTTGCCACTTGCTGTTCTGTGTGACCTTGAGCAAGTTATTTAATCCAGGCCATAGTTTCCTCAACTGTAAAAAGAGGGAGTTGTCTTCTAAAGTACCTACTCTCTCTCTAAGTATAAAATTCTATGAAGCACAACTGTGTGAGGTAGACAATGCAAATTTATCGTGATTTGTAGATGAGGAATCTGAGGTTGAGCCAAATAGTGACATGGCCAAAAATGTCAGAAATTGAGTTTAACCCAGGTGTTTCTACTCTGAAGTCCTTTGTCCTTCTCATTATGCCAGGCTACCACATACTCAATTTGGGATTGTATGGTAATGCATAGGGGCAGCTAGGTGGCACAGTGGATACAGCAGTGGGCTTGGAATTGGAGAGACTCCTCTTTATGAGTTCAAATCTGGTCTCAGACAGTAGCTGTGTGATCCTGGGCAAGTCACTTAATCCCTTTTGCCTCAGTTTCCTTATCTGTAAAATGAGCTGGAGAAGGAAATGGCAAACCACTCCAGTTTCTCTGCCAAGAAAACCTCAAATGGAGTCATGAAGAGTCAGACACAAAGACAAAGTAATAACGTATACAAAATTCGTAATCATAAGGTACTAAATTTATATACGTGAATGTGTGTATATATATATTTGTGCATATATACACATCTTCACTCACACACACTCACACATAACCTGAAGACCCAGTGGCCCTCAGGTTAAGAGCCCCTGTGCTTGATGATCTCTTAGACCCTTTCCAGTTTTGTGACACAATTTTTAAATGGTTGGCTAAATAGTATATATGTGTATTTGTGTCTCTATATTTATATATACACTATTATAACAAGCACCTTTACATAATTGAGCTTGATGACATTTAACCAATCATTTTAAAATCTAGAAGCTCAAATCATAGAATTTAGAACTAGAAAAAAGTATCTTGAGGATGATCTAATCATTTTACTAAGGCTCAGAAAAGTGCATTAAGTGGTATCCTGGTAAATGTTTAACAGCTGGCTCTCAAGAAGAAAAAAAGTCCCTACAATCAAACAATAAATTAAGCCCTGATTAGTAGCATTGGGTTTCCAAAATATAAATGCTTATATTGAAAATTTAACAATCAACTTGAACTGGTGCAAGCTTGCTCCAAAACAACCTTTTTGTGTATGTCTTGGACCCCTTTGGTATTTTGGTGAAGCCGTGGACCCATAAGTTATTCTGAGAAGAGTAATGTTTTTAAGTATATAAAATAAAATACAAAAGACTACAAAGGGAACGAGTTATATTGAAACAGTTATTAAAGTATTTGAAAAACAACTTCATGGAGCTCAGGTTAATAACACCTGGACTAGATAATCTCTCAGACACTTTCCAGTTTTGTAACACACATTTATAAATAGCTAAATGTCATCAAATCAGGCTTTCAAGGGCATCCTTTTAAAAAATGAATGCTAATAACTTTCATTAATATAGTCCATCAGGGTTACAAAGGATGTTTTCATGCATTATCTCTGATTTTCACAGCCACCTTGGTAGGTAGGTAGTACATTCTTGCCCCTGTTTTATTCATATGCATTTGGTTTTTTACTTCTTCGTAACAGTACTTAGCTCTTAAAATAGGGATTTAGTGACACTACCTTAGAGGTTTAGTGCCACTTGCTTATATAGGAACAGTAAATGGACAAACAGAGGGAAGGCTGTGAACTCTAAAGACTCACTGGTTAATTCTTCTGGGCAGAAAGATTACCTGTCTTTAGTGCTGCCTTGTATGTTCAGGCCCATTCAGATAAGTAGTTTATAATTTACTCTCTTAGTTCAGAGCAGATCAGTATTTGGAGAGACAGTGGAAAAAGCCCCAGACCAGGAGCCAAAAGACTCAGTTTCTTGTTTCTTACTCAATATTGTGGAGTCTTGGACAACACTTAATGTCTCTCAGACTTAGTTTCTTCATTTTAAAAACTTAGATATCGTAATGTCTGCTTTGCCAACAGGTTTATTGTATCAGTGTGTATGAAAATGCTTTGTGAGCTATAATATTGAAGTAATCTTTTCCCTCTTCAGCTTTATTTTATATTAAATTTCCTTCACATATTTTTTTTTGTACTAGTCAAACTGACCTGCTGGTTTCTTCTGATATTTAATACTCCATTTCCCTACTCTGTACTTTTGGATAAGACCCTCCTTCACTCCTACCCTTCTCCCACGATGTCTGTAATGAATACTCTCCTCTCTTCTTTGTAGAATCCCTAAATTTCATTCTTTCCTTCTTTCTTATTTTTTTTTGCTTGAGGCAGGTGTTAATATTATAATCATTTTATGTATCTTAAAAGTTTAAACAATCTTTTTCAAATTTGATTTATTTTAATTTCAGTTTTGAATTTTTTCCCTCCCTTCCCCCCCCCAACCCCCTTAAGAAAGCCAGAAGAAAAACAAACTATTGGAGTAGTTTTTTAAAAAGACCTGTGCCTTGCACATAGTAGATCTGAAGTGTTTATTGAATTGAATTTGTCTCGTCTTTATGAGCTGTTATAGCTAAGTCATCCCCCAGTGATCAATTCTCTGTACCAATGTAAGTTATTTTAAAATATCCTACTTAATACATTTAGATCATTGGGTTAAGCATGTTTGTCTTTAGGTACTATTTACTGAATCTATGGCAGGACTTAAGTCATAAAAATTTCTGGTTCTTGACAGTTCTGTGATTCTACTAGAGAAATAAATGGAACAACATGATTTCAGACTGGAAGGATATCACAAAATCATGAAAAATTCTGGAAGACAAGAACAGTAATGCTTCCTAACTATTTTACTCACTGGTAAAGCTCTCACTGTGTGCCCTGCTATAAAGGCTCTATCTGATGCTCTGCCAGTAACTGCTCTTTGACCTTGAGCAGGTCATGTGACCTCACTGAACCTCAATTTCCCCATGTATAAGTAGGACATTGGTGTGTGAGAAAATGAAAAGTTGTACTGATTTAGGGAAAGCTGGTGGCACAGTGGACAGAATGCAGGGCCTGGAGTCAAGAAACCGAGTTCAAATACAGCCTCAGACACTTACTAACTCTGGGACCCTCATTTAATCGCTGTTTACCTCAATTTCCTCATCCATAAAATGAGAACAATAAGAGCACCTACCTTCCAGTGTGTGATGAGGATTAAATTAGATAATAGTGATAAAGCACTTCACACAGTGCATGGCTCAAAGTAAGCAGAATATAGATATTAGCTATTATTTTATTATTAGGTGACCTCGGAGGTCTATTTCAGCTCAGTCTATTATAGATCCTATGTACAAGCTTATTTATCCTAGCTTTAGTTAGCTAGGTGTTTATACAAATATAAGTTATAGAGAACATAAGTATTGCAATTTTGTTAAAAATATTTACATGTCAGCTTCTGTATGCTATTTAATATATATGAATTACACTGGCCCCATTGCAGATTTTGAAAAGAAATTTTGTTTTAGAGATATATAGAATTGAAGGTACTGTCTCCAGGATTGTGTGTATGGAAATTACTTTCAGAAAGAATTGTTCAGAGAACAATTAATTGTGGATTTAGAATCAGAGGATTTGGTTTTAAATTCTGGCTTTACCACTGATTGACAGTCTGTGAAACCTTGGGCAAGTAACTTCACTTATCTGGCTTCATTTCCCTCTTTTGTGAAGTGAAGGGGTGAACTAGCTGACTTTTGAGGTTCGTTCTACCTATAAATATGTGATACTATGATTGCCTAATTGCCTAAGGTACTAGGTAGCTAGTGTATGGCTTTTAGGTAAAATTAAGCTTCCTGAGATTTTTAGCCACAAAAATTCATACGTAATTAGCCAGCACTCATGTAGGCAAGTAGAATTTAAGCATCTGTGTACTTCTGTGGTTGTATTTGTTAGATTTTATGCTAGCAGGCTTAAATCAGTAAATATAATTGAAACTAAAAGT